ATTTGTGTAGGGTGGCCGCGACGGCTGCCCAGAACTTGTGCAAACTCATTTATTTGCGGTTTGCCTCCGTTGGAACGGGCGCTCTCAAACCAATGTGTTTTATTTACCTATTTTCCTTATAAAGTCAACGGAGTGTGTATTTTGTCGGTCAATTTTCTGCTGAAACACGTCGCCCTTTAAAAGCTGTGTAGAGATGAAAAGATCTTATTTTGAGTCGCATATTTTTCGAGTGCTTTAGTGATATTTGTAGTATATTTGGCTGTTTTGTGGGTGTATGAATGAATGTTTTTGGAATATGTTTGGTTCATTCATCAAACAGTTTATTACCGCTGAAGGACATATTATTTCAGGATTTAAAGCAAATTTAATTATTTCAGGATTTCAAACATTAGTACCAAGTATTATGGTTCCAATTCTAATTGGTAACTGAACAATTAGAAAAGATAATACTGATAAGTAAAAGATAGCCATTTTTATTTTGATAATTTGTTTACAACAAATAAAAATGTATAAAACAAAACGTCGTTTATGAAAGCAACTGTAACTTTCTATTCAAGCCCCCATTATTACCTTCACACAGACTAAGTCCACATTGATAAAGCTGAAAGCGCACCAATGAGATTAAAGAACATGCCTTTCAAACATAAAAGAAAGGAAATTAACTACAAGATAAAAAGCACTTTGCTAAACAGATAATAAAGTTTGTTATTACATGTTCGCTTTTCGCTCATAAAGCATTCATGTTTGTTTTAGCAAATTATTAAGAGAATGCACGTATTTCAACGTATCTTGAATGTAAATACGGCAATTTTCTGATTATTCCTTGTAACTGGTTTTGTTCTGAACAAAGTTGTTTAACAACAATGATGTTAAGTAGTAAGTGGAGAGTATTTTTTAGTAAACGAGTGTACATTGTTCCAAGAGTTGTGTAGAGAGAAAACTAAAAATATGCTTTGTGTTCGTTGTCATATTGCATGTTTTTGTATTTAAAAATCTTCTTTTTGTATACGTATTATTTTGTCTGGTGTAGAAAAGTTTCAATCTTAGAACAAATTAGAACTTTGTATTATTACTGACTAGCGACCCGCCCCGGCTTCGCACGGGTGCAATATGCATGTATTATACATACAAACCTTCCTTAAGAATCACTCTATCTATTAAAAAAAACCGCATCAAAATCCGTTGCGTAGTTTTAAAGATCTAAGCATACATACGGACATACAGCGATAGCGACTTTGTTTAATACTATGTATTGATTATCTTAAAATAAACACATAGTCTAATCACTTAACTTGATACAAAAATCATAATACGTTTTTGTAATATTACAGTCATAAATATTGTGAGAACACATAAATTTCAGAATGTACGTATAAATTCCCTTCACATAGGAGCAAGCTACCTTCACGAAGCGAAAGGAAAACGTCAAAACTTTGACGAACATAAATAAGAATATAAAAAAATAATATTCTTCATTGAACTTTTGGGGAAAACATAAAAAACTTGCTTTGACAATCGGTAATCATTTCAAATTGAACAAATAAAAAGTTTTATTGAGGAGCTTACGTTATGAAGGTACCAAGTTAATTTATTACAAGTAAAGAAAGGCTGCTAAAGTTAAATTATGTTAGGCAAGATACCGGTAAAATTAGGCGTTAACTCTGTTATATTGTTAATTCTTATCGGCGTTAAAGTTGACGATTTTGTTTATAATGATAAAATGTCAATTTGAACGGAATTGACGCCGACAACAAACAGGAGTAATTAAATGTAATGATGTTGAAGTCGCGGTGGCCCTGAGGTAGACTTCTCATGCAAAAGGGTGCAGGTTTGAGGCTTACCAACGGCAAGTACACATAACTCGGAAAAAGTCACATTGGTACCCTCTAAGATTATCTAGACACTACTGACAAACGGTAAAGGAAAATATCGTGAACCTAGGCTTATAATTTACAATATTATAAGTCTTAAATCGCCAGACCGCTTTGAGCAAGCGTAGTGATTAATGCTCAAACCTTTTTGGTGTGAAAAGAGTCTTTGCTCAGAAATAGACAGTGATAGTGTTGATGTTGAAATGTAATTAACAATTTTTTTGTAAACACAACAAACATTATAATATGAAGGAAAAAGTTGGGAGGTTGCAATCGTTTGTGATGATAAATCTTTTGTTTTAAATGAGTAATATGGTTTCACAATATGCAGGCTTACTTCAGAATTGCTATATATTTCTGTATGTACATACATAATAGATACCTATTGTGCGACACATCCACATTGATGAATAAATAAAAGCCGAAAAATTTGTTATAAAACATATTTACTTCTATCAAGCCTTTTAACGAATAATGTTATTATGAAACAGTAAAAATACAAAATAAACACTATATTCCCGAGGTATCACTTAAAAAGTTGAGAATTTAAATTTTGTTCGTATTTTTAAGGTTGGATTTTGGTAATGGATATAAAAATGTTAAAGTGAAACAGTTAAGTGGTTTAAAATTGACGGTATGTCCTAAACCAACAAACATGTGAAATCACTGAAAAATAACGAGTGGCTTTATTATGTAAGAAGATTAATTTTTCTTTTAGTTTAACAAGAATATTAAAAAACATACTCTTTACCTTTTTACCAAGAAAATAATAAAACTAAAATTGACTGCAGCGGCCATTAGTACATTAGTATTTACCGAAGTACTTTTCTAGATTTTAAGTGTCCAACACATATTGACGTAGACGTCTACACCGTAGCACCATCTACGCCGTAGCCGTAAATCATAGTTGGCGGTGTAAATGGGAAAAAATATTACCCCCATTAAGTTTAAAAGAGTTTTTTGGGAACGTTTGTAATCTGCACGGTTCATGTTGTTCCCAAATAAGTAACGGCAATAATTACTCCTCATAAATTTGAAGCACTCAACGGAAACGTTTGGAATAAATTTTATTTTTCCTTTGTTAAGCGATGTTTTGTGGTGGATGAGGATTTAGTCAATATTTTAATAACCTGATTATTTGTCTAGCTCTCTTATTTATTTATTATTCGTCAAGAAGAGCAAACTTTAAAAATAAGAAGTGGTTTGCTCAAGTTATTGACGATCGACCACTTCATTGAAATGACGTCAGAAGTCTTTGAAATGTCACAGAAACCTGTCTTGAGCAAAATTTGCCTGAAATAAACTTTGTTTAAATACAAAGAAAGAACACAATAGAAAACCGTATTGTGAAAAGTTTAAGGCTAATCCATGTTAACGTGGGCGGGCTCTATTTCAGGTACAAGATTTAATTTTTCTTCCAAAAATAACTTGCAAAATGGAAAACATTTTTCTATGACATTTTATTATTATGAAGTAATTTCTTGACTAATTTTATTAATTGTTACAAATACGACTCACTTGCCGAAGTTCCTAACTAATTGTGTGGGCGTAGTATTTGGATTAAAGGCTAAAATAAAACTAATACACTGCTCGCTATATTTTGTGATACAACCTTCACAATATACATTAATCCAACCCAGACCTTTTGGTAGAGGACAAACTAAAATACACAAATAAGTACTTTAGCAACTTACATCTCCGAAACTACAATAAAAGATACGTTTTTGTTATATGAAAAGCAAAGGTAGGCTTATACTCGTATTTTTATTAAAAAAGGATTTTGTACTGTGAAATAAAAGGGTACTCTAAGTGAGTGCTTTTTGTACTGTTCTTGTTTTGTGCTTATTATAAAGTTATTATTTTTTAATAACAGAATAATAAGCCCTGTGACCTCGAAGGGACAGTAGGTAATATACTTTTTGCAATTATACCTCTGTTATTCTAGTACTAATATTTATCAATGAGCATCTTACAGTTTAGTAAAATATTTAAATATTCAATATAAATTGGAGTGTACTGCATTTGTTTGGGCTCACTTAAATTGTCTGAACAGTTTTATTTTGAACTATACAAGAAAGATGTCTGTCTGATAATAATGCTTCCTTTCGTTGAACGAAGACATTCGTTTAAATATGCCAAGAGCCACGCACGTCTTAATGTTTAGATAAAGGAAAAAATAAAATTGCTTTAACAATAGCTTTCCATTGTACCTTTCTGCGCGATGATTTAGGATCTCATTATATTTGTAACAGATACAAGTACTACGCAACAAAACGAAAGACTTACACTGAAACCCTGCCGTACTTGATTTAATATGAAGTGGATTTAAAGAGAACGTAAGAAATGAAATAAATTACTTACTTCGGTGAAGAGAATATTCTGTTTTTATTAAAGCGGCATAATTTCTAGGAAACGAAACAATACATTTTTGCGTGGGTGATAAACTGGTTCATAAATCTTGTAGAGTTGACAATAATTTTGATGTACTGTAGCAATATTCCGCCTAGCTCATCGCGGGACCAATTTGTAATGGGACGCACCTGTGCCCCTTTCAGATCAAACAAGCTTCTATAAGCATTGAACGCATCGTCTTGAGTTACGTGCCCACTTATCTGGGAATAAAGGTAATACTAGATGCTTGTCATCCTCAACATGACGTAAAAGTCAATTCCATGAAAGGGACGACCTTTTTACATATTGTGTTAGGCTGCTATTCTACGAGCATACACTCCTCGATAAAATATATCATACTTGATATGATTTGCCAAAATAAATAATATCATATTATCCTATTAATATTATAAATGCCAAAGTTTTGATGCTTGTTTGTTTGTTTTTTACTCCTTCAAGTTTTAAAGGGAAGAATAAGCCACTTTTTTACCACGTGGCCGCGGGCGAAGCCGCTGGCAGAAGCTAGTTTATCGGTAAATACGTATGTCAAGTATAATTATTCACCATCCGATAACGTCCTTCAAGCTTGAGCGTTGACCCAACTGTGATCCCACCCGCCAAGCGTAGGGATTATTAGAAATCCTCTCTGCAGAGTTCACATTCAATGACTAAAACGGTTTCACGATCGATGACTATAAATTAATCAGTATTAAGAAAATTAAAATTTCAAATACGTACCAATAACAACTTTGAATGTAAATGTTGATCTGAAACAAGAAAAAGACCACTGTTTTTATAATAACTATCGTGAGACATACTAAATTAAGTAAAAACGCGGGTTACTCACGTGAATATACTGCGCGGTCGCGGCGACGTCGCGCAGCTCACGTGTCAGTGAGCTGCGCGACGTCGCCGCGACCGCGCACGCTGCTCATGAGGAAGAACCCCTCTGTGGTTCGAAACTAGTAGAGCTTTTCTCAGTATATTCACGTGAGTAACCCGCGTTTTTACTTAAAAAAGACCACTATTATTAATATTCTTCTTTGTAATGAAATCACTAAAAGTCTTATGGAGGACAAGAAATAACCCTGTTGCAGTGTGCAGTATACATTGGTAGTTCATAAAATATGAGGCTCGTAACAAGGTTACCTGCCCAAATTATGTCAGCGGTACTTAAACATAGTCACTTGGCCCGTAGCCATATTTTCTACATGTAGTTTAGATATGACTCAATTTCGATTTTCACCCATGATGATGTAAATATACTTTGTCTTAATTACTGAAAATCATACTCGGTTTTCGCGTTTACTTGCGTTTGGGAACTTGCAACGAACAAGACAGTCTATGCCAGTTACTTTACAAACAAGACTAAAGTAAATAAGTACCTATGAAGTTGTATTTGCCTGTATTGAGAGTCCAGCGAGATGCACTGCGGTCAAAGAACTTTAGTTCTTTCAACTCAAACACGGTTCATGAACTCCCTTAGAGAATACCAGTGTTTAAACAGGGTTTGTTTTTTTAGACAACATGGTGAAGTTCTCAGTATGAGAATTATACCACAATTAGAGATACGACGTGAAAATATATATTCATTATTTGTTACAAAATGAAAGAATGTTCATTTTGAAATCCGTTTCTTGTGGTCTCAATCTTTTTATTAAAATTCCTTAGTTCAGTTTTGTATAGGTTTCCTGTTCTAAGTTAATCTAGCTGAAAAATAATTGGTGTCAAATACTTCAAGGACCCATACAAGTGCAGTACTGGAGCATGAGGTTTCAACCTTGATTTGTGACAAGAAATGTAATTGGTTTCTTAATTTAAAAAAAAGTCTGTACCTGATCAGTCACTCTCTTTTACGAGACTAATTTTCAGTTTTATTGTTTTTCAAGGTTCTGTAAACATAGGTATAATGACCCTCAGATCTTATTATGTCATTATATACGAAAAGAAATGGTACAGTATATACCGACGCTTCCAAACAATAACCCAGTAATCGATAAATCAAAATTTTACAGGAGAAAAGATTTACTGATTTTATCAAATACCTTTTCAACGAGTGGGACTATTGAAGTCATTGATGTGTTAAATGAAAGCTATTTTTTTGCGGAATATACATGTGCCATTAAAATGACATTCCTTTTATTAAATACCTAGTAATTTAGGAAAATAAATAATACCTAAAATTTTATACATAAAATATTATGGTAATAGTACTTACGGGATTATTGCAGTAAATTTATCAAATGAAATATTTCATAACATTATATTATGGACTTCTACGGGGTTTTTTTTATCGTGGGGCTGATACATAACGTGTTTTTACGGAGTTATTGTGGTAATTTCAAATATTATTTAAATTACCACAATAACTTCACTTCACACCAATCTTCAATAACATTGTTAGTGTGTATTACGGAATACGTATTTTACAATGAATTCAACAAAAACCCCGTACACACGTACAACCTAAATCTTCATGAAAATTATTTACGGCAATAACCCGGTAATCGCAACTTACCAAAATAAAATATAAATTGTTTTTTCGTACAGATGTATAACATGTTTTTGCCGAGATATTATTGTGTATTAATTCCCAACAATAAACATGTGCGTCATGATATCTTTGTAACTATTATTAGGAAAAATCTGAGAAAAATTGTCAAGGTGTATTCAAGTCCATACGCGCCGAAATTGACATAACAGCATAAACCCGATAATAGCACATTACCGAGTTCTTGGTTGGGAGCGTCGATACATTGGCCTCTGGTACTCGAAATTTTATTGAGTCCCTCTTATTTGCGCGTTAATTGCCTTTGAAGTAATTATGACGAACGTTTCGTCGGTGACCAACATTTCTCAAGGTTCAACCTTCAACTGTCGGAAAGCTTTGGTAGCATAATTGCTGTCAATAGGAATTTATTTAACTAAGACCGTGTTTCTATAATTTGAAATTTCAAACTTATTTGGTTTCTTGTTAACAGTACTTTAATCTTCTCTTGTAGATGGTATTTTGTAACTAACTCTTCTCTATGTCGTTTTTTGTTCATAAGTGATGTTTGATGTTTTTCAGAAGTGGGGTTATTGTTAGTTCCGTATTTTTTTTTGCTTATGGTAAGGGCCAATTTTTCAATCATCAATTAATTGTTAACTGTAAAATAAAATTGACGTTTGATAGTTTTGTATGGAAGAATTGACAAATGTTATTCCTCAGTTAAAATTTATCTGGCGTTGGAAAAAATGTCCCCAATAATTCTTTTATAAACTATGTTTAAAAAACCGCTTAAACCCTACTTTTTTGAAGTCAGTTAATTAATATACTAAAACTTTTTCTAAGTGCAACAAATACTTTTCAGAAAATTGCACCATGATCGGTTCAGCCAATCGCGAGATAATCACGTTATACATAGAGATCAAACTTCGAATCTCCTTTTTATTTTGAAGTCGGTAAAAATAATGTATTGAGTCATTGTGATTATGTAAAAACACGATGGCTATATGACCCTTTAAGTGTGTGTGTAGCGTAAACTCACATTTTTAAATGTTATATAATAAAACCTCCTGGCATGGCTTAAAGAAAATATAAGTAACAAACAAAACAGGAAGGGTGCCTCCAAACAGATTAGGATAGCAAAAGCGGTTATGATGTTTGAAGAAAATAATTTATATCATAAAGGTTGGTCCAAAGAGCGGTCAAAGGTCACCAATTATTTCGTCCCTCTTGTACGCATAAATTACCTTTAAAATTGTACACATTTTGATACACAATATGGTGGCTTTGAGGGTGTTTTTATCACTTATACCAAACAAAAAATTTTCACGATCCAGAAATCACAAAACATCTATCTAAAAATCGAAGACAAACATTTTTAATCCTACCAGAGTCCACAAATTGGTTGATGACATGCGAAGCGAATGATTTCACAAAAGCATCCACAGCTTAGCGTATAATTCCACCATGCCCAACTGTCATAGAATCACGCAAATCAATATCGTTGCGATACAGTTGCAAAGCATTCAATAGACCTATCAAATGGATGACCATTACCTTTGTGATGTGGCTTTCAACCACTTCTGTGGTAGCACACTCCGGCTAATTAGTTGCCAGTTCGTCTGAATGCACCCTCCAATCTCGGATTACATGGAACAACGTTCATTATATGCGGAACTGTGAAATCAAATGAATAACGACGAATTTGAGCTAGTCGCCATTGATACGGGATAAAGCTTCGAAGCTAAAAATATGTTTGTAGTTCAAAAATATAATACCTATCTCAAAACGTATGAAAGGCCGAAATATTGTAAGACATTTATAGATTCTTTTGAATTTTAATTGTCATCACCATGTTGAAACACCACATTTTTTAATGTTTTAAAAGTTTTAAAACAAATATACTGAATAATCAGCAATTTCTTTTTTTGCTTCTGTTCCCGCAGAATTAATGTCAAAGCAAAACCTTCACACAATTTTAATTCAGCGTACCTGACAAGTGAATTATTATAAAGCTCGCAAATATAAAGGCAATTGTCTAGAAGTCTGTCAGAGAGCAAGAACATGTTTGTGATGAAAATAAATGTAAAATAAACGCTTTGCCGTATTTACGGATTTAGTTTCCAAAAACCGGGCCATGTGGGCGGTACAAACAAAGAATGATAAGAGCTCAACATTTCTGTGCGCCATGTCACGACGGAGAGAAAACAAAAAAGTTTTTATCTCATCCTCGACTCTTTGAAGATAGCATAGTGGAAACAAATACAGCCTGTTTGAAGTAAAAGCGAAATTGATAGTACGCGTACCGCATTTACATTGTTTTGTTAGAAAAATGGCCGATCAAATGGTGGTATATTGTTGGGATTTTATTTATAGGATTAGTTTTATACACAAAATTGATCTACAAAATCGAAATGATAAATAAATAAAACTGTGTAATACGGTAAGCATATGAACTTTTATTTGCAGTATACGAATTATTTGTTAAAAATTGTAGTAAGTACATACTATAAAGGAGTGCCTTTTGGCGTCTACGAAGTGTAAAATCCCATTTAAGCAAATTACTGTAGCTGTCAAAGTTTACTCTACTCACCAATGGGTTGACAATTAGCAAATAGTTTATTGATTTAGGGACCTTACGCTACACCAAGGCCTCTAGTGTGATAAAATTATTGTACAATGCCTGCATATATGTTAAGCATAGAGAAAAATGTTTCTTTAATTAATTGTTAATCTTAAATTGAGTTGTTTTCCTTGAGCGATTCACTAATTAGGGAATTGAGATGGGCGATGCCATCTCTTTGTCAGAGAATGTCGACAGTAAAAGTCATTAATTCCGTACACAGTATGAAGTTGACACGAAATTAAACCTTTGTCCATATATTTATAGCACACTTTTGTTTAAATCCTGTATGAAATGTGAGTTAGAAGTTTACGTTTATTTGTATTTGGTCAGATCATTCAATCAGTTTGCCTTCATACAACAACATATCACTGCTAAACCGGCTGATTTTTTTCAATACCCGAAACGCCAAACAATAAAAAATCTCGCGGAAAAATAAAAGCAACCCCTAGAGATGAATTTACATAATAAAGAATGGTTTCACGAAGGTTTCGGGACACAAATATCTGCGCATAATCGAGCAATTTGTGGACGAATTGAATTTTACCTGCTTGTAGTTTGTTTGGGGGCGTCGTCCATTGACGTCGTTGTATTGTGACATGAAATAATTTTAGATACTGTGATATTTATAAAAATATTTTTGCAACAATATTACT